GTTTTTTTTAAAAAAAAGTTATCAAGCTCTTAAAAAATCACCCGTTATATAACAGCAGTTCGGTTAAGCAAAGATTCAATAGCGGGGAATTAAAAGGAATACTCTTAGGTGACAGTGGATATGCTGTCAGTAATTTGCTTTTAACTCCGTTTTTATCACCAAGCTCAACTCCACAAAAGGAGTACAATAAAAGCCACATTAAAATAAGAAACACTGTGGAAAGATGTTTTGGAGTTTGGAAGCGAAGATTCCCCTGCCTTCACGTTGGAATGGGTATTAAGCTGGAGACCGTTGTAGCTGTTATATGCGCATGTGCAGCATTGCATAACATTTCCATCTTAGTAGATGACTTGCTACCAGTCAGCTCTGATAACATCGAAACTTTTAATGTCGAAGCCTCACCAATCAATGAAAACTCCAACAGCAACGGTTTTATTGCGCGTCAATCTCTGGTAGACAGATTTTTTTCCTAAGATCTTTTGCTACAAATAAAAGTCTTTAGATGTTGAAATATTAACTATGTCTTTAATTTATTGAACGATTTTTTTTTGCCTCTTCAAAATCTATTTTAGCCTTTTGTAGTGATACTTGGTTTTTTTTGCTCTTCCAACAAGGCTGCTCTTTTTTTTATTTGCTCAACTTCCAACTGTAAAAGAAAATATGCATATACAAATATTTAGCTTTACCAATGCATAGTTATTATATACCTGTGTTTTGACTAATTCAAGCTTAAGCTTCTCTCTCTTCTCTAGGTACCTTACCCGTAATGCTGCCTCCCGCCGAACGCAGTCGCTTGGTCTGCGTACTTGCTCCTTTTCCACTTTTTGTTGGTGGCCAGTTTCATTACTGTGTACTATGTAGTTAAAAAGCAGCGAAAAGAATTTTAGTATATCGTAGATGACTTCTTTCGTATTTTATAGGTACAGTACCTGCAACATTTGGTTCACCTTCATAATTTATGCTTATGGCTTTAAAGTTTACGTCGGATTCCTCATTTGCTTCCGTGATCATATCTAAAAAATGTTGGTTAAAAAGTGATTTGCCTTATATCTTAAAGGACATACCTAAAAACTCAATGGAGCTAGATTGGCTATTTTCCATGTTTAGCAAAATTGCCCCATCGCTGTCAAAGTTGTTGGAGATTTCGCAAATCATTGCGGGAGCAGCCTAATAATTAAATTTTATGACGACAAGACAGTATGAAGATAATAGTTAAGTCCCTAACAGCGCACTTATACGATATGAATGTATTTACATATCGATGGTCCTGTACAACAACGACACAATTCAAAATTCAAAAAAATATAAAAACTGTTACTACTGTTAAGTGACTCATGTATTTAATCCTTGTCGAATCCATGTCTCATCTTTTGTACTTACTTTAACAATTCTTACTGCTTACTTTAGTAAGGGATGGAAATGGATTAGACAAGGATTAGAGACAATAATCACTTAACAGTAGTAACAGTTTTTATTTTTCGAATTTTAATTTGTGTCGTTATTGCACAGGACCATCGATATGTAAACGTTTTTTTTTTGTATGTACTCGTAAGTAAAGTAGCATTTACATATATGTATATCGTTACTTTAATATAGAAAGGCCCTATCTCTCATCGTCGCTGAAATACAAAAAAAAAATCGTAACTAGCTAAAAATCCTAAATTCACCTATTGATTGATTTTGAGCATTATGTGAAATAGAGCCTTTCTATATTAAAGTAACGATAAGCAAATAAATATCGTGTAAGAGCGCTGTAAGGATACATACCTCTTCCACCATGTCCACTATTGCTTCTACTTGCCGTGATGTTGATGGCACCGGTGGCCCACCGCCCGTTCGAAATAAATTACCCCTTTCTACTGCCCGAGCCTTTCGTGCGACTGCCTTCATATTTTCCCACGCCCTCCTTAATGTAACCGTCTCACGCTGAAATAAACAATATGGAAACACGAAATACTAAAGGTGGCCTCAAGCAGATGCGATAATACCGGTGCGATACGATATCGTATTTTTTGCGATAACGATAAAAAGCAAACGCTCTCAAACAGGTGAGATACGACACACTGCGGTGCTATACCGCAGTGGTTTGTATTGATCGCATATCGTAAAATTTTTTACCGCATCTGTTTGACGCTACCTTAAGGCGTATAATAAATTGAATAAATGCATTAGGTCGGGTATTTTTTCGACATCGTTCCTAGCACATTCGTATTCTACATTAAATACCAAAGAAAAAATTCCATTATAGCTCCAAATTTTGAGCCCCCCAAAATTTTAAAATAACCTATCTTTAATTAATACTAAGTTAATGTCTACACTTAATATTAGCGGGAGTGTTATGAAGGTCATATTTTTAATACTTACTTATGTCTTAACGTAGCATTAATTGAAGATAGCTTTTTCAAGTTTGGCGGGCTCGAAATCCAGAGCTATGCTCTAATGGAATTTTTTCTTAGAAATTTATCTAGAATCCGAATCTGTTCCATTCGTTCCATACAACCCGCCTTAAAACGCATATAATTTTACCTTGTAGACATTCGAATTTGAATTGAACTCATTCGTAAGCAAATCCCAAGCTTCTTTCTTTCTCAAAATTGATTTTCCATCCGTATGCTTCGATTCTATAATAGGCCGCTTCTTTATTAGTTGCCCTAATATAGCCTTTTCATCGGCAGTGAAATTTGATACACGCTTTCGATTTACTTTTGCTTCTTCCTAAATTAAAACAAACATTTGTATACGTACATAGAAATTTCCTGGGTGAATTAAGAGCAGGTATTGCAGTTCTTGAATGTGGTAACATGGACAAGCTTTAGCTTTACTATAGTTTGTGTAAGAACCTTTTAACTTGTCGCTTCCAAGAAACAATTGCATTGTAGCT